TTTTCTACGGTTGAACAATCGCGCATTCTGCAGACAGTTTCGCGCGTTTATTTCTTAACGTAATAGATGTACAATTTTATCGTCTGAAAGGCTTTAGACGTGACCGCAAGGCCGGCAAAACATCTCCATCAGCGGGACGCGATCTCTCGATCATTTCCTATCATCACCGGGAGATCACCCGAGCAGGTTTCACATGCTCGATCCGGTCGGATGACCGACGCCTCATCGACGTGCCACTTATTGTCGCCGACTTTCCTCGCGGTGTTCCCACCTTTACTTTCGCCTTCGAACTTTTGGCTCCCACTCGAGCGCGCTGCACCGAGACCGACTCGGCCGGCGGTTCTCCGGCGATTATCGCGAGAGATCGCTTACTCGACGCGACTTCCGACCATAAAAACGAGCAAATAGCATCCAGCCGGAAATGAGGGAAATGTACGTGTAACGGCCCGATGGAAGAACGATGTCGTGCAATGTGAAATTTATTCGGTCCAGTCCGAGAAAAGATTAATTTCTATCTGATCGCATAGAAAATACCGTGCACGTTTTCTCCTGCGCTCGAGGATCGCTCCATTTTATTTGGACAAATTAAAAAATTTCGATTTAATTAGTCGTAATGTCAATTAGTTTTAATAGCGGGGTCATTATCCTTGGAATAGGATACACCCGGGTGACAATGACTCAGGATGCGATGAGATCAGCGCGAAGGACGATCGCCGTGCACGAGTCGCGATTGTACGCATTGTTCGCGCGCAATGTGTGTGCGAGTTTTTACGATCCACACGATCATATAGGCATAAGTGTGGTGACACAATTGATTCCAAGTTTGTCAAACAAATTTTCAAACTTTTCCTACATTATCTTTGTTTGAAAGAAGAATATTTAATTAACTTTTCTTAAGGGAAGAATTTATATTTCAGAAATTTCTCTTTTACACGTGTAAGAGAATTATACTTAATTCGCTACAAGGCAGGCGGCACTTTCTTGCTGATAATCTGAACGCCTTTTATATTTAATAAAGATTTTATCGCGAATCGAGTTTCTGCATACTTTCCTCGGAAGTAATTCCTTCGCCTTTCGCGACAAAGCGAGACTCGTCTGCCAGGTGTCAACCGGCATGACGCGAGTTTGTGTCTCGACAAAACGTAATTAAGAAGAGCAACGGAGATCGCAAAATTTTCCTAGTTTTATTTCGCTCACGAGAGCGGCACGCGATGGAAGTATTAGGAAGTCGGAGGCGGGGATTCTTTTTTCTTCGTCCGGTTACGTGCCACTTAGTTCGGACTTTTGTTGCGAGGATTTCCGCCTACGGCTGGCCTTCCAGGCGTAGGAGAACCTTTTTGACGTCACGCTCCGTTGCGGAACTTCGAAAATTCTGTAACTTTGCAAGAAGTATTTTACCTTGATGTTAGTAAGAGTCGCGTATCAAGAGTCGTCGGAATATCTTTTTCTTTCTCATCGTTAAAAAATCCTAACATCATTAAAGTTCTAGAAGCATAATGCGTCTCATCTGAGGATATTTGAAATTAAAGTTTTCTCAAAGTATTTGTTTTCTTTCTTAGAAGAGCC